GTTTTAATTTGCATTTCTCTGATGACTAGCGATGTGGAGCATCTTTTCCTGTGCCTGTTGGCCATCTGAATTTCTTCTTTGGAGAACTGTCTGTTCATATCCTCTGCCCATTTTTTAATTGGATTATTTGCTTTTTGTTTGTTGAGGTGTGTGAGCTCTTTATATATTTTGGATGTCAAGGCTTTATCGGATCTGTCATTTATGAATATATTCTCCCATACTGTAGGATACCTTTTTGTTCTATTGATGGTGTCCTTTGCTGTACAGAAGCTTTTCAGCTTGATATAATCCCACCTGTTCATTTTTGCTTTTGTTTCCCTTGCCCGGGGACATATCTTCAAGACGACGTCACTCATGTTTATGTCCAATTTTTGCCTATGTTTTTTTCTAAGAGTTTTATGGTTTCATGACTTACATTCAAGTCTTTGATCCATTTTGAATTTACTTTTGTGTATGGGGTTAGACAGTGATCCAGTTTCATTCTCTTACATGTAGCTGTCCAGTTTTGCCAACACCAGCTGTTGAAGAGAGTGTCATTTCCCCATTGTATGTCCATGCCTCCTTTATCGAATATTAGTTGATCATATATGTTTGGGTTAATGTCTGGAGTCTCTGTTCTGTTCCACTGGTCTGTGGCTCTGTTCTTGTGCCAGTACCAAATTGTCTTGATTACTGTGGCTTTGTAGTAGAGCTTGAAGTTGGGGAGTGAGATCCCCCCCACTTTATTCTTCCTTCTCAGGATTGCTTTAGCTATTCAGGGTCTTTTGTGTTTCCATATGAATTTTTGAACTATTTGTTCCAGTTCATTGAAGAATGCTGTTGGTAGTTTGACAGGGTTGCATTCAATGCTTTGGGCAGGATGGCCATTTTGACGATATTAATTCTTCCTAGCCAGGAGCATGGGATGAGTTTCCATTTGTTAGTGACCTCTTTAATTTCTCCTAAGAGTGTCTTATAGTTTTCAGGGTATAGGTCTTTAAATTAATTAAAATTTTTGAAAAAAATTTATTTGAAAGTCTATACCAATTCAGTTTATTATCTTTTCAAGTCTTGTTATTTTAGCTTACAGAATATACACAATATGCAATGGATGTTTTTACCAAGCCTTGTGTGAACCAGCCCCACCTCCAGCAGTCCCTGCATTGGGTGCATGCTGTTTTACTCTTTCTGAGCACTTTCCTGAAAGAAGTTAGCTTTCCTCCTGAGCTTATCCTCCCTGTACTGTGTTTTGTGTGTGTAACTGAGTTTACAGTCTATGCCAGTATGGTTTATCATCTCAGTTCAGCTCTTGTGCTACCACTCTTGTACTTTCTACTGCGCTGAAGCATACAGTAAGGCCTTTAACTGTTGGATTTGGGAATAGGATGGCTTCTGATTTTAAAGGTTTTAGACATACTTGGTTTGTGCGTGTTTTGTAATTGTAGTACCTTCAACGGCTTGGTCCTGTGGGGGAAAGTAAAAAGAAACAATGATTGAAAAAGGTCCGTGACTTTCATATTTGAACCGCAGGATCAAGTGGGAGTGTAAGTGGGAGGAAGAGAGCGTGTGGGGACAAAGATGGAGACAAATGACTGTAACCCTTGCTGTGTCTTTCTTTTCCTTAGTGAGGTTGTTGGAGACAGTGAGACAATGGAGGACAATTTTAAAGGAGAGTCTGAACATTAGGTAGCTTCAATCATAGTAAATTTTGGCTTTTTAAAACTCAGATTGTGGTTTGTATTAGCTGAGAGTCTTTGGTTGCAAGCAACAGAAATACATTGGCTAAATTAGGCAAAAGAATGATTGCGGGTTTGCTCAGTTAGACTTGAAGAAGAAGACAACCAGGGCAACTGAACAGCCGCCCCCATGGGTCTTCCCTGCAGGGTGTAGTCCCAAAACAGTCCTTTTCCAGCCACCCACTTCCTGTCTTCTGATTGGCCAGACTCCAGTCATGAACCTAACCCTGTGGTGGTGGGCATTGCTGTGTTGGGGAGATGAGGGAAGAATAAGTTTCTGGGCAGACAGAAGCGGTCACCATTAGCACTGTGCATCGGATTGCTATTTGATTCACCTTCACGCGGTCAGAATATAGCTCACGTGTGACCCTTACGAGTCTTGGAGTCTCCATTAAATTAGACTCTCTGAGAGCAGAGACAGTACCCTGCGCACCTCCTTATTTCCTGCTATGCTGTGTATGTTCTGGGAGCTCGGTTCATTGCAGGCCATTTGGCTCTTTTTCCTGCATTATTTGGGTGTTTCCTCAGCTCTTCATGGCACACAGGGACCGCCTCATGAAGGGCCCAGCCACAGCGGCCTGTGCGGTCTGCCTGCGTGCTGTCCACGGGGACACGTGAGGAAGCAGTGCTTCCCACAGGTTGAGGCCCAGACTCACAGACGTGGGTCAAGCAGCCTGATAGTAATGTAACTTTTTTTATGGGAATATAGTCTGACCTCTTCTTGTGTATTCTTTTAATAATTATTCTTGGAAATGAAGGTACATGGAATAATGGAAAGGATTATTAGGCTTGAAACCAAAAGACCTGATTTGAGACTTACTGTCTATAAACTTGAATACATTGATTTTCTTTTTGTACTTCATTTTTCTTGTTAATGAGAAGGACAGAATGGGAATTGCTCTGTTTGCCTCCTAGAGATGTGAAGGGGAAAAAAGTGGTTACTTTGGTTAAGACTGTGTGTTACTGAACTTTAATTTTCTAATCTGTAAAATGAGGAAATCTCTAAATTTTTAGATTTTAATTCTTTTTTTTTAGACAGTGGCCACTGTCTGTGGGAATGTTTTTCCCTTTGCAGTGCTCATGACATGATGTGTTTTCCCCCTTCCCCAGGCAGTTGCAGTGCAGCATGGCTGACCTCAGTCTTGCGGACGCATTAACAGACCCGCCTCCAGAAATTGAGGAAGAGATAAAACGGGACTTCATTGCCACACTGGAGGCAGAGGCCTTTGATGATGTTGTGGGAGAAACTGTTGGAAAAACAGACTATATTCCTCTCCTGGATGTTGATGAGAAAACAGGGAATTCAGAGTCAAAGAAGAAACCGTGCTCAGATACTAGCCAGAATGAAGGTAAGCGAGTAAGCCAAACTGGGCATAATAGGTTCAGAAAGTAGATTGGGAATTACCCTTCAGTTGAATGTGTTTTCATCAACCTACAGATTATTTTTAACCCTGAAGTGTCTTCTGTAATGTGTCAACTGCCATATGAACTGTGATGGCTTTTCTTTTAAAGTAGCTTTTAAAGATAGATCATGAAATTCTGTGTTTACATCAGACTTAATTTAGAATGGAATCAGGTTCCACTTGTCTATGGGAGTGATCCCAGGTCCAGATCACAACATGGATTAAATCCTTTAAAAGAGGTTTGCTGCTTTTGTATATTGCTGGATCAAATTTGCTAATACTTGGTTGAGGATTTTCACATCTGTTCATGTGGAATATTAGTCTGCCGCTTTCTCCTGATGCCTTTGTGTGGTCTTAGAATTAGGGTTGTGCTAGCATCATAAAACAAGTTGGGAAGTGTTCCCTTCTCTTCTGTTTCTAGAACAGTTTGTGTAGAATTGATGTTTTCTCCTTGAATGTTTGATAGACTCAGTGAAGCCATCTGGGCCTGGAATTCAGTCCCTAGGAGAGGTATAGAACCACTCAGGCTATCTGTTTCTTCTCAAGTGAGCTTTAACAGTTTGTATCTATCAAGGAATCGGTCTGTTTTTTGTCAAATTAATGGAGGTAGTATTGTAATATTTACTTTATTGTTTTAATGCTTGTAGAATCCGTTGCTATTTTCCTTCTTTCATCCATTTTTGGTAATCTGTGTCCTTTATTTTCTTGGTGATTTTTGTATAGACGTTTATCAATTCCTGATCTTCTAAAGATCCAGCTTTTGGTTTCATAGATATTTTTCTGTTGTTTTTCTGTTTTCAACTTCTGCTCATATCTTTAATATTTCCTTCCTTCTGCTTATTTTGAGTTGATTTGCTCTTTTTCTAGTTTTTTTAAGGTGGCAGCTTAGATAATTTCTTCTTTTATAAAAGCATTTAAAAAATTGAGATATAATTGATGAAAAATAGTTTCAGGTGTACAGTATACGATTGAACACTAGTATGCATTGTGAAATGATCACCACATGCGGTCTAGTTAACATTTGTCACTCACATAGTGACAAACTTTTTCCCTTGTGATGAGAATTTTTAACATCCATTCACGTAGCAACTTCCAAATGTGCAGCGTAGCACAATGTGCGATGCAGTGTGCAGCTCTGTGGCCCCGGCACGGCGCACAGTTTCACCAGCTGCACTCGCCATGCTGCGCCTCACATCCTTTCACTTTGAAAGCATCTCTTTTTTAATATTTAAAGTGGGTTTCCTATAGACAGGATATAGATGGGTCGTGTTTTTTTTTTTTTTTTGTCCATCTGAGTATCATTGTCTTTTAATTGGTGTTTTTAGATTATTTATATTTAATGTGATTATAGGTATGGTTGGGTTTAAGTCCATTTTATCAGTTGCTTTCTATTTCTTCCATCTGTTTTTTATTTTTCTTTTTCTGTTTCCTTTTGGATTACTTGATTATTTCTCATGATACTACTTTTAACTCTAATATTGGCTTATTATGTATATTTCTTTTAAAAATTGTTTTATATTCTACCTAGAGTTTATAGTGTACATCTTTAATTTCTTCCAGTCGGCCTCAGTAGTATTGTACCACTTCACATAAAGTGTAAAATTCCACGCAAAATAGTGAATGTGCTTTGTTCATCTTTCCCATTATTGCCATATACTTGATTTTACATATGTTACTAACTTACAGTGTTACATCTTTGCTTTAGATCATCAGTTATCTTTTAAAACAATAAAAAATATGGAAAAATACCTTTCATATTTACTTAAATTTTTGCCATTTTGAATAGTCTTTGTTTCTTTGTGTAGACCCAGATTTCTGTCTATCACCAGACTCCTTCTGCCTGAAAAACTTCCTTTAGCATTTCTCACAGCGTAGGACCGCTTAGCAGTGGGTCACCTCAGCCTTATTTTTTTCAAACTTTGAGACAGCGATGTTCGCAGTATCTGAAGACACTCGGCCTCGGCGCCGTGCCCGGGCCGCCCACCCTGCCACCCGCACAGCTCCCCAGAGGCGCCCCCTTGCTCTGCCCGTTCTTCCCTCCGGCTCCCTTCAAGATTTTGTCCTTATTTCTGGTTGTTAGCAGTTTGAATATGTTGTGTTTAGGTGGTATTTTGGCATTTGTCCCACTTAGAGTTTTCTGAGCTTGTTCTGTGCTTTGATGTGGTTCAGTAAGTTTGAAAGTTTTTTGGTTATCTTTTAAAATTTCTCTTTGCCTTATTCTTCCTCTTTTCTGGAATTCCACCTACGTTTTTGTTACGTGTTTCGGTATTGTCCCACAGCTTTAGGACGCTGTCTCTCTCTCCTTCACCTGTGTGTTTCATTTTGGGCACGTTGGCGTGCCTTCGAGTTTTCTGGTCCTGCTCCTCGCTGCCTCGGGTCTGCTGATGAGCCCTTCTATCTTCTTTAATATCTTCTCTGTTTCTAATTTCTAGCACTTCTGTTTGGCTCTTTCATACGGTTTCCATTTTTCCGCTGAAATTCCTCATTTGTTCATGCATATTTCTGTCTTTCCCTCTGTAGACTCTAGCATATTAATCGTAATTACTTTAAATCTCAGCCTGGTGATTTGAATGTCTGGATCACCTCTGAGCAGTTTCCTTTTGTTTCTGGATGGTGTTTGTTTTCTGGCACTTGTTATGTGTCTCTTAATTTTTGAGGGAATGCTGGGCTTCACATGTAAAAAGTCGTGACTGAGATAAAATGTATTTCTGCGTAACGGGGGTGTGCCCCTCACTGACCAGCTAACTAAAGGAAAGGGCGGCCCGGGCAGGAGCCGCGCCGGGTTTGGTTTTGTGGCCAGTCCGGCCGTCTTCAGACTCCATTATTCCTGCACTTCGAGGGGGCGGCGTGAGCCCGGGGTGCCTTCCCAGGGCCCGTTCACCGCTCAGGGTCTCACCACGCTCTTGCCCCTCCCTTATGAGAGGAGTGCAAGCTGGTGGTGGGCAGGCGTGTCTTTTTTGGTTTTTGGTCCTGGTTTAGGTGCGGTCCTGTGTGTGGTGGGCAGGCGTGTCTTTTTTGGTTTTTGGTCCTGGTTTAGGTGCGGTCCTGTGTGTGGTGGGCAGGCGCGTCTTTTTTGGTTTTTGGTCCTGGTTTAGGTGCGGTCCTGCGTGGTTTGTTCCGTGGTTGAGTCCGTAATACGGTCCCTCTCAGAGTGCCTGCTTGGTCTTCCGATGGTACCCGTGTAGGGTCCCGGGCAGCATGTTTTCTTGCTGTGCCCCGGAGGTCAGAGGGTATTTTCCTCTTACTCTTTGACCAGCTGTAGCCCCTGGGGCTCACCGGGGTCGGTATTCCTCCCCCAAAGCTTCAGGCTTTTGCTTGCATAGGGTAGAAGTCCCCAGGGGCAGGGCTTCTCCGTGTCTGCACCAGCGAGGGACACGACACCTGGCCTCCCTCCTGCCTCCAGCTTTTCTTGGAGACAGACGTGTGGGAGGTTGTCACTATGTGAGTGGCAAATGTTAACTAGACTGCATGTGGTGATCGTTTCACAATGTATATTCGTGTTCAATCGTACATTGTGCACCTGAAACTATTTTTCATCTGTTATATCTCCCTTTGTGTCTGGGTGTCAGGGACCCTCCGCTTGCGTCTACCCTTCACTCACCTGCCTGTGTGACACCCAGCACCTCTTCCTCATGTGCTCCGGCACACGAGAGTCGGTGCTCACCCCCCGTATCTCCTAGGGGCTTGTCTGTCCTTGGATTTCACACTGCTCAGTGGTCCTAGGACCTCAGCTCTGTGGCGCGCTGAAGTTGTGGTTTTATAGTCTGTCTGGTTGGGTGGGGGTGACACTCCCTCTGGCCTCTCTAGCCTGAGTGCATGGGGAGCCGCTGCCTTTGCGTACGCTTTATTTGGAGGTGAGAGGGTGCCCATAGGTCAGCAGGAAAATTACTGAAAGTCTAAAATCGAATTATGTCCGTATAAATATGCACTTCAAGAAAAAAATTGTATTTCTTAATGGAAAATGGGAATGTATTTTAATCCATAATGCTCAGTCATCGTTTAGCTAACCTAAAAATGAGGAAATCGTAATAGGAAGAAAGGAGACGGTAATTCGTAGCTCAGATACGCCTGCCGTGCCTGCCGCCTCACCCCCAGCCGTGGGGGGGGTCGCCTGTGCCCTTGGGTTGTGCCTTGCTGCTCCCACTGGGGCTCACTGTCTGTGGCTGAGGACCGAGCTGGTAGCTGCAGGTTTTCCTGAGCTTCATCCTGGGGGACTTTGTCTGTGTGCCGTTGACTTGACCCAAGAGAGGCAAGTTTTTATTTTATTTTTATTTTTTTTTATTTTGGTATCATTAATCTACAATTACAGAAAGAACATTATGTTCACTAGGTTCCCCCCTTCACCAGAGAGGCAAGTTTTTTAGAAACTATTTTGCTTACGAAGAATCATTCAATTTTCCCTAATATTTTTAATATGGAGCAACCTGTAATTAAAAGTGCGTTGATGCAGGAAGGCTGCTGTAGAAGCTGATGACAGTAGTTGCTGGGCGCTCTGTGGCGAACTGGCTGGACAGGCTGTGGGGCTGGGAGGGGGACTTTTACTCTGTATGCTTTTGGACCAGTTGGGTTTTGTACACATGCATTTATTACCCTGTTCAAAAAGAATAATATAAAGTTTATAATTACAATGTAAGTTGGTAGTAGTACTGCCTTGTTTGAGGGAAGCTTGGCTACGGGTAGACGGTATGAGGAGAGGTGGCTGGTCGGAGACACTGAAGAAAGGCAACGAGGTTATTTGGTCTTGTAGAAATCTGGTGCAGCGAATGAGTTGTCTGTGATGGGGACTTCTCTACTGTGAGTCTAATTTTTGTAGATTATCAAACTGATGGTTTTGACGATAATGATGGATATTGTGTTTGTATTTTGCCTGGAGAATATTCCAATTAAGATGTTTTCTCTTCTGCATACGTCTTCACAAGCAATGGAAAGGCCCTAGATTTGTTATTTTTATATGCCTTGGATTTTGTTACTGGGTGAGGTTCAGAAAGTTATCAGTGGTGCTTTTGATGTGATTTTTAGCAGTCTCACTTCAGGCGACCACAGAAATTTATCAGCTAGTTTCTGCCTCCAGATACAGAAAGGGCAGCTGAATGGTTCACACATAATAGACCTGCTTGGACAGAGACGACTTTGTTTTTTTTAATTCTCATGCCCTGACCCCAACTGGCCTCAACTGAAAATGAGTAGTTAGAAAATCAGACTGCCTTAATACTTCACCCAAAGTAGGAAAAGTTACTTTTTTCTTGAGGTGCACTTCCTGCCGGAGGCCTGGAAACGGATCCTACACAAAGCCCTTTCCTCATTTCTGCCCCAGTGGGCTGGTATTTTGGTTTCACAGGGAAGGTGCGAGGGATGCTGGCTGCTGCTGGGCCCGTCATTGTCTTTAGGCCCTTCTCTGTTGATGAACTTTATTCTTTCCCATTTACCCCTGTCGAGTTTTGCTTCTACAGGGATTTTATCTTAGCATTGCTCTCTTGAAGCTTCTAAAAAGCCAAATACCTGGACATGAAAGTGGTGTCCCATTACTTCTGAAATGCCTGTCACCTTGGGGAACAATTCTCAAAATACTTTTTCAGGTCTACGTACCACTTGGTTTTTTTGTCCTTCCAAAATGTCATCTTCCTAATGTTCACTATTAGCTCCATGTGGCTCCATTTTCTGGGATAGACGAGGCTTTCTCGCGTATGAATGACAAAGCAGTAACACTCCCTTATGCTGCTCTGCTCACTTGCTGTTTGAACGAGCACGGAGCACGGTGAGTTTGTGGGCAGGTCACTCTAGTTTTCCTGCGCTCTGTGTGTGTTGGGGCTGAGAGGATGCTTCCCCTAAGTCCAGGAGGCTTCTGAGGTCGGCGCTTGTTCCCTTGAAGGTTCTAACCAAGGAGAGTAGTTCTCAAAGTGTGGTCCTTGGACCAGTGGCATCAGTATCACTCGGGAGCTTGTTCAGAATGCAGTTCTCAGGCCCACGTGGAATCAGAAACTCTGGGAATGGGGCTGAGCAGCTGTGTTAACAAGCCTTTGCAGGGGGATGTCTTGGATGTACGTCTGAGTGAGAATCACAGACCTAGGAGGAAGGGTCTCAGGGCGGCCGGCAAAGAACGGTGATCTTGTGCCAGCAACTGGGGCCTTCTGTGGCGCTGACTGCATTGGCCGCCAGGGGGCGGGCCTGGCACAGGCCTGACTGGGTGGGCACGTGTGTGCTGAGACCGGCCGGAGCCCGTGTTTGCCCAGAGTACACTCCCCGTGGCCCTCCTCACAGCACACGTGCCCTGTGAGCTTCCTGGTGCTCCCTTTCTTTGCCAAATTCATTGGTCAGCTGTGGGACTCTGAAATCTTTTGTGGGAGAAGAGATTTTTAGAAAAAGTAAATTTGAGTATCTTTGTATCTCAGAACATGTAATTAGCTTACAAAAATTTGTGTAGTTTTCATTTCTGTGTGTTTAGCTGAGATACTTTTCATTTTATGCAGTGGTAGTGCATAAAAAAAATGTGTCAGTGAAGGCAGGCAGTATGGCGTCTTTTGAATTAGGACTTAAGCGGAAAAATGGAAACCGTATGAAAGAGCCAAACAGAGGTGCTGGAAACAGAGAAGATATTAAAGAAGATATAAGGGCTCATCAGCAGACCCAAGGCAGTGAGGAGCAGGACCAGAGAACTCGAAGGCACGCCAACGTGCCCAAAATGAAACACACGGGAGAAGGAGAGAGAGACAGCGTCCTAAAGCTGTGGGACGATGCCTCAAGGAGTTCCCAGTTCACTGGGAAAGACGCCTCGAGCGGAAAGAAGGGAGGGAGCAGAGAGCTGTGAGATCGGAGAGGGCGAGCGGAGATCTTATTCCAGGGTGGGAGCAAGAACCAGGATCTTATCTTTGGAGGGGAGGGAGGGTGGGGACCCACACACAGTGCGGGTCAGGGGAGCTTGGGTGCGGATGCTGGAGGGGCAGGGCTCGGGGTGGAGGCCTCTTCTGACTGGGAGGTGAGGTCATGTGCCAAGAGACGCAGCTGAGGGGCCGTGGGACGCAGGCGAGCAGGGCTGGTCGGGGCGGCCACTACAGAAGTGCAGGAGTGCGAACTGACCGGTGCTGGGTCTGGGAGGAGGTGGGGAGTGATGGCACTAAAAATGATTTTCAGTGTTCTATTGGACGACAACTGCATTATAACCTCTTTCAATTTTGATGAAGCAAAGAATTGGAGGCTGTCTAACCTAGAGGATTTGTTAGTCATTTAGGCAATTGACTTTGTTGAGGGGCTTGTTTCTGTTCTATGGTCGAAGGATGCCTTTGTGGGTGTTTCTCTTTCTCTGAGTCTGTTTGTCGTGTTGAGCATCGTATCCCTGTGACGTTCACTCTCTGCACGTGACGTCTTTGGTGGTGGTTTTCCTCAGCTCTTGGGTGCTGCTGTCTGTGGCGAGTGGTTCCATGATGCGTCTCCTCCAGCAGGCATGCTGTGAGGGTGGCCAGCCCTCTGGTGTCGCTGCCCTGGTGAGCCAGCCGCCTCTCATGCCAGTGTGCTCAGTCTCTGCCTGGGTGCTGGCCCAAGGCCGACTGCAGCTTGGAGGCTTGCCTCCCTGGCTGTCTCTGCGGGTGGAGGACCTGTGAGTCCTGCCTGCCGCCTCCTCTGGGCAGCTGTTTCTCCCTCAGTGTGGCCAGCTTGCCTTCATTTCCTTGGGCCCCCATGTAACCCTCACGCACAGGACCAGTGGTGTGGTGCCTCGGAGCATTGGGTTTGAATCACAGGTACTGAACCTGTGGTACTTACGAAGGATTCACTGAATGTGAGGCCATCCTTAACAATTTACAGAACAGAGAAGACCTTGGCCTGCTGTGGGACAGGGAGGGCTCTCCTGCAGTGGTGCTGGACCGGGCTGGCGCATGACAAAAATGAGTGACTCAGTTTTGGCCTCTTTCTGTGTTTCCTTTTACTGGATCTTTAATTTTTGGACAGATTTTTATCTGCTTTAAGCTAATGCTGTCAAGAATCACAACAATTGTCCTAGTCAGGCAGTGTTGGACCTGTCTGTCATCTTCTCTCTGTCACCATGGTAATTGCTCTTTGTGGCTGTTGCAGGCGTTTCGTCTTCTGACCCACCCGTGCTAGCCAACGGTGACCACGGACCGGGAGGGCGTGACGCTGCAGGTGAGTGGTTCCCATGACCCCCAGATGTGCAGGCGAGGCGGTCATGCAGACACCCTGGTGAGCCCCTCTGAGGTGGGCGCTAGTGGGCGCATGTGAGTCATTTGTAGGCATACTGTTCTTGGTGTATTTCAACCCAGGGCATCTGCCACGTAGTGTCTCCCAACAGTGGAAAGCGCAGTGTAAATTGCCTTTGATGTCGTTTGAGTAGGCATCATGGCTGTACCACCAGAGCTGGGTCAGTCTTAGCGATGTGCTCGCAGGTGCGGAGACGCTGTCAGTGTCGCCCTGGAGGCCTGGGGCCGCCGCAGCCTTGGGGCAGGGCTCCTCCCCGAGCACCCACTGCACCGAGCTCGCTTTGCAGGCCACAGTGTTAGGAGACCTGGGATCACACGGGGAAAGTTCTGCCTTTTCTCTTTTGCCTCAGTCTTTTTTTTCTTAAATGTGACTGTTGGAGTTTGTCTCTGACTTAAAGTTGTAGCCCGTTACTGAGCTTTGGTATTTTGTCAGCTAGCCCTGAGCTCTGGTGCGTTTCTACCTCAAAACCAGCCCCAGCCCCTGCTCCCAGCATGTTTGTAGAGAGTGGAATCCTCGGAGCAGTGGCGTGGCCCACAGGGGTGTTACTGTGTAAATCTTTTCTTAGGTGGCTGATAGGAGAGTCCTGTTATGTTTTTATGAATAACTGCACTTAATTTGCAGTTTGTGCAGGCTGGCACTGTTGACCCAGATGAATGAGCTTCTTGTGGGCAAGTGCATTGCTCTCTGCAGAGAGCTCTTAACTGGGGCGTGACCCTTAGTTTCCCTTCCTGCAGTGCAGGAAGCCAGAGGCACGCCGGGTCCGTGTTTCTCTTCTTATATGTGTACCTCTGCCTTGACAGGCCTTCCCGTGAGCCTCTGTAGGGTTTCTCGGCTTCTAAGGCTTCCAGAAAGCCTTCTGTTAGCAGTAGCACTTCTTCCCGAATTTGGTCTTTATATTCTGTGACCTTTAGGAATGTTGGATATGTCTTTGTACCTCAGATTTATTGATGACTAGGTTCTGTTTGTTGTGAATATTAGTTTTACCCAGTGACATTAACATCTTTATTAGCAACTCATAAATTTGGAACGCTCTACTTTAAAAGGTAGAAACAACCAGAAGTGCTACCTTATCTTCAGGTTTTGTGAACTGAAATTTTCATATTTCTTTGATAATCTCAGTCAAATGTGTATTGGCTGTTTCTCTGCGTGCTTTAAAAGCAAAGTCATCTATATAATTTGGTATTAAGAAAACATTTATAGAAACATCCCTGTGATTGATTAGAGGAGAAGCAGCTTGAGCACGAACTTTAAAAAAATGAGGAAACTCAGTGACCAGGATGCAGTGTGAGGGGCAGGAGAGGCTGGGGGGGTCAGTCTGGTGAGCAGTTGAGGGTGGCCACTGTCTCCTGCAGGAGGGAAACAGCTCCAGCAGGACGCCACGGTGGTCACGGGAGACCCAGACCTCACGTGGCCGTGCTCCCCTCTGTGGCAGCTCTGGGTGGTACAGGAAAAAAGAAGGGGGCACATGCCGCCTGGCCCTCACCGTTTCAAGACTGAGTTTTCTGGTGGCGATTCAGGAACTGCCCACTGGCATGCGAGCAGGTCTTTCTGCCTTTGGAGACCTCTCCACCTAGAGGCAGAGAATATGGTGTCTCCAAACAACTAAAATACAGTTGCGCCCCTGGGAAGATGTTTACATTCTGACCTTGACCTCTTGGCTCTGGTAAAGCAGATGCTTTGCTGAAAAGGTGCATGTTTCACTGGGGGTGGGAAGGAGCAGGGAGGGGCAAAGCCTGCATGTGTTTGGAGCATGCTGTGACTGCATTCTAATGTGGCGTCACTCATGGGAGCGTGTAGGTCAGGCCGTTGGAACATTCCCATTTCTGCTTCCTTCAGAATGTTAACTATAGTCCTTAAAGCAGACCGGCCCTCCGATCACGTCTAGAGGGTTGTGAGTGCCTTCCGATGTTGAACCTGCTGTGCACTAATGAATGACCCCCGCTTTTCCACCCTCTCCTACCCCTTCCTGCTTCCTCCTCCCTTCTGTTCTTCTCCTCCTAGAAGCCTAGCGTGTCTCTCAACACTGGGGCTGCTGCAACACCAGACCAGTGATCTTTCCTAAGCACCGTTGCACTTGTAAGACCTGCAGCATTTTGCAGAGCTTTGCTTTTCCTTCCTGGACACGATATAGAAGAAGCCGAGGGTAGTTCTTCGGGGCCTATTTCTGCTGATGCCTGAGCAAACCACCTGCTTCCCCTTGTGCTCTGCAGGCCTTCATGGAACCTCCTTTCCCTTTGTGAGCACAAACTACAAGATGAATTCTTTTAAATTTTAGTGTTTTATAAGGATCATCTAATGTCTTTTGTTTCTTATTCTCTTTTAAAACTCACTTTATCATTTAATTCAGTCTCACATTTTTCTTTTCTTTAAACATTTTTAGTTGGCTTTTTTGCATTTGGTTTTCAGATCTTCAGCATGAATCAGGGTATTGGAACACCAGATGGGAATGTGCTTTCATAAAGGGATAGTGTCCGCCAGCACTGCAATGAGCCCACCTCCCTTCTCCTCTCCCTCCCTCTCTGAGCTTGCTTTTAGGGAAGGGCAATAAGTCTTTCAGGCTACCTAGGTTTCTCTCCACCTTACTAAAATCTGATTAATGATAGCTATTTTAAAGTTTTCTAATTTAGAGTAGCTCTGATTAAACTTTAAAAAGTATTTCCTCAAATTAAATCCTCCTTTATTATTTGCAAGTTAGGCTGAAGTTGTTTCTATTATGAAATTATGATCCATTTGTCTAGGCTTAGAGTCTCCCAAAATTTTGACCATATTATTATTCATGGAATTTTATAACCAAAGTTACTTTCTTAACATGATCAAGAGCTTTCAAAATAAGAATTGAGAAGTGAAGGAAAATGAAGTCCTATGTTGTTGGAATTCTTGGAAGTTGGTTGAGATAAAATAACTTTTTCTGTGAAACATGAGAATGAAAGTAAATTGTAACACGTTGACAACCCACAACCAGCTTCTCAGGTGGTTATCTGGCTGGACCCAGCCTGGTTCAGGGTCAGTGTCTGGCATCCCTGTGCTCCCTGGAGATGCTGGTAGGGGTGGCGGACCACACATGGAGACTGTGTGTTGGGGCCTTTGCCACCAACACTAGCATTTGTAGTCATTCTGAGCATTGTGTCAGTGAGACTTTCTTATTCTTGTTCCTCATTTTTCCTCTTACTGATGTTGCAGGTTTTTATAATCACCAGGCTACTGATTGTTTCAGATTAAATAGTTGGCACCATGTCTGAGGAAGATTTTGAGATATACATTTTTCAGATCCTCTGATGCAAAACTTTTGAGATGGAAACATTAGAAAAATATTTTGAAAATTTAAACTGAATCCCTGCAGTGATTTCTGGAATTTAGGAAGTGTCCCCTCTTCTGGTCACATGTGGGGGTTTCTCTGCCAAGAATTCCTCCTGTGGGTTCTGAGGGGAGACTTAGGAGGCACATAGATGGAAGTGCTTATGCTCCCCTTCGAAGCAGTGGATAAAAAAAAAAAGTGACTGCAGGAGGGCTCCCCCTCCAGTAAAATAGCTCTTTCTTTCCCTTTGGTGTGCAGGTATTTAATAGAGGTTCTGGTTTTCTGTTTGTTATTATTATTTTTTTTTTACACCAGGGCACTTTTCAAAACTTGTACTGCTAACTTTAAAAAATCATGTTTGACATTTTTCTATCACGTCTGACCAGTTTGTGCAGCTTGTCTGAGTGACAGGTGTTGGAGAAGCTTGGGCGCGACTGTCCTGTTGCAGTGATCAGAGGCTTGTGCTCACACTTCATTACTGGCTTTGATTTATTCCACTTTTATTTCCATTTCACTATGTTTTTGTTTGAAATTTGTTTTTTCCAAATATGTTTTTTTTTGAATGTATGGAATTAAAATTTCCTACTAAAAGCCAGCTAAAATTTGTTTATATTGTTAGCTCACTGTTTCACTTGGATGTTTCATTTTTAAAGGCATAAATTGAACGTTTCTGTAATGAAATGCTGTGTTGCTGTGAGGGTCACACACAAGTGGCCCAGTATCTCCTGGTGAGGCAGCCAGTGAAGGTGATTGTGTTGAAATGTGATGTTTCTTACATGTAATCTCTTACTTTCTCCTCTTTTTTTGGCCCAATGTTGAAGACGTAGAATTTTGTTTTAAAATAGTATTTTATAAGTTCATGCACCTAAGTTTATATTTTTTGTGATTTTTTACACTTCAACAGTTTGTATGGGAACATTTTAATGTTATCATTGTGCTAAATAAATTACACTAATAAACATTTTACGTTAATACCTTATGGACTGGCTTTTGGCTGGAGTCTTAGTTATTGAAGTATAATGTCACTAAGATATGAGTTGGTAAATAAAGACTGCAGGCATGAGTTCTGGTCTAACAAGCTACTGATCCCACTTCTAATAATTCCCTAATTCTATGGGCTTTACTTTTTGCCAGGCACTTTCATTTAGGTTGTTGATTCTCAGAGTGACTCCCTTTTATCCAGAAGCTAAGAGTTAAGAAGCTCAAACAATTGGTTTCGTATGGCATCTGGCGAGAAAGACAAGGGCAGGGTGGCAGTGTGCGGCCACTCCAGCAGGCAGTCCGCGGTGTGTCAGTTTCTGTTACGTACCTTCTAATACTACCGTATTGTTTGGTCCAAGTAAAATTCACTTCCACGTTTTTCCTAAAGTGCCTTCTAAAATAGCAGATAAAACTGTTATGTGCAATAACATTTTAATGTTGTAACTTCATTATTAGATAATCCAGTGTGCTGTATCTGGGAGGAATTTGATGGAATGCCCAATAACCCTACTTTTCTTTGATTAGTGCTTATATTAGACAATTTGCAAATGCTGCATGTTGACTGAATTAACAAATTGAAAAGATTCTATGCCTAAGGTAGTTTTCATGGCATAAAGAACTTTTTAGCTTGGCAGACATTTCTTTTTATTAAGAAAGCTCAATTTAATGCTTTCAGTCTTCCTTTTATTAAGAGAGCTTAGTAATCTATTAGGTATAAAACACAGGAATTTTAATACTATAAATAATAATTCACAACCCTCACTAACTTTCTTATAAGTATCCTAGGTCAAAGCTTTTGGTGACGGGGACAGTTCTTGGATCTTGTCAGTGCGTTCATTTTGGTGAAAGCGAGATGGAACGTGGCTACAGTTGATTGTTCCCCCTGTTGACCTAGTGTGGCCTGGGACGCTAGGAAGGCCCTGGGCGAAGGCACAGGGCTGGTGGGGCGGGCACAGCGAGTTACATTTCTAGGTCTTGGCTTTGTATTGATAGTGTTGCCATTACCGTGAAGCCTTAACAGGAACTAACCACGAATAGTTTGGAGCGTGAACCTCTGTGCTACCAGATAACTGTTCCTTACTGTCTGGGGCTAGATGCCGTCTACTAAGTGCTCCGCCAGTGACAGTGCTACTGGCGGTTACCACTCTGATCGGAGTAGCAGCTTTGTATCGTAATGACTGTTGTCAGCGAGAAGTGGTATCAGTCCCTTGGGTTGGAGCAGCAGTGAAGCAGTAAAGCTGCTTTGTTAGAATGTCTTGATGAGGGAGGCGTCCTTCGTGTTTCTTCACAGCCTCTCATATCTTAAGATAGAATGCGAAGGATTTTACATTAAAAAATTCTAAGGCACCAAACGTGAGATCTTAACAGAGAAGTCAATCTGTAGTGTTAAAGCTTCTGAGCAGCTGTTTCAAGCAGCCTGTAAGTCGGCATCATAACTCTTGAGTCCAAGCGGAAAGCTGCCCCTGTTTTCCTAGATGTAGACCCAGCAAGACCTTCTTTCCCCACCTCCTCCCGAAATCCTAGAAACAAAGCTTTAGTTGTTTTCTTTCATTTTCCAGGTGTGAGTTGCATTTTGGAAACACATCATTTCTAACACCTCATGTTTCTTAAAGTTTTTTTGTTCTTGGTCTTCTGGTAAAAATGTCAAACTTCTCAGAAAAAATCCACGTGTACTCATTGACACAAGATGTTAACGTTTACTTCCAGAGTGTTTGGATCCCCCTTGAAACTGTCCCATGGGCCAAGCTTTAGAACTTCTATCTCAGCAGAGCATGTAATTATACTGTAAGCCATTTGACTTCATTTTCTGTTGGAGCTTGGTTTTGAAAATTAGCTCCAATTCTGAGCTTTGAGTGAGCCCATAATTCTGATATACTTTTTTTAACCACAACTTTATGTGATTTGCTTCTCTTTGTGGAATGAAACTCCACATTATGCCAAAGGTATTTGTAGATATAGAATATTTTGGGTTTTTTAATTTATTTGTAACTGTGACTAATGTATGAATACATTTTCCTTTCTAAGAAAAAATAAAGCATTATAGGTACAGCCACACTCTGTCAGAGACCAGAGGATTTTTAATAACAGAACTACCATTTGCATAGAGTTTCATATAACACATTATCGTTTGTCAGGCTCTCTTACATGTGTGTCAGTGTAGCCACTTTCATTTGAAGAAGTTGAAGTTCGGTTAATAACAGAGCTTGAAACTGAGCAGAGCCTGGTAAGAGCCGTGCACTATGCACTCTTCCACAGCGTGTGGTGTCAGTGGGCCCTCTGCATGCCGGCTGAGCTGAGTGGACGTTGGAAGGAGTGGACCTTGGAAGGCCTGTTTAGAGGCCTAGGAGAACATCCGGACTGAGCCGGCGGCTTTGCATGTCGGTAGCTTGAGACGTGATCACTGGAAACAAGAGTGGGAGCCCTGGAAAGTGACATTGGGAGGGGAAAAGCTGGTACGGCGAAGTGTGCCAGCTTCGTCATGGCTGTGGACAAACGGGGCCTGGTCTTGTTGGGGTCTTCTGCGGAACAGTGTTGACCGCATCTCGGAATTTTCACCTGAGTTACAGGATTGTGTAGCGTTTGTTCATCATCTCCATTTTGTTGGTTAGCTGCTGTATTTCTGGGTTGCGCTTATGCAGTGCTGGACCACAGATGTCGAGATGGCACTGGGCAGAAAACTCCAGTTTGGTGGAAATAAAACGCTAGCAAATCACACCTACATACAGCTGTATGCTGCGGCTATAGCTGGACTGAAAGAGGCTTGGGCACAGGAGGTATCCAGTTAAGCAGGATTTGTCGGTGTTTGCCTGGTTACAGGGAAGGAGGAGATCCTTGAATTCTGTGCAGGGAAATGTGAAGCTACTCCATCTGTCATGGAACTAATTCTGAATCCTAGTTGTTAAAGTATAAATTTTAGTTTTGGAATTTCCCACCCTAATGTTTTCTTCTTGAATCAGTTTCAGTTAGTTTCTAACTTCCTAGGAATTTGTCCATTTTCATTCAGGTCGTATAATTTGTTTGCATGCCATTGTTATTAATACCCCCCACAGACCTCTGTTTCCGCGACACTGATTTGGTGTTTCTTCTCTGATTCCTTAATCTTAGGGATCTGAGTCATCTCTCTTATTCTTGATCAGTCTAGCTAAAAATGTGTCAATTTTGTTGATTTTTTTTCAAAGGACTAATTCTTGGTTTTGTTGAGTTTTCTCTATTTTTCTCTTCTCTGTTTCACCTATTTCCAGTCTAACCTATATTTTTGCCTTCTTTCTGTTGGTTTGGGTTTAATTTGCTATTTTTTTCTTCCTACTTTCTTAAGATGGAAGGTTATGTTACTGATTCATGATTTTTTTTTTATGTCCATCTCCTTTTCATGTAGGTGTTTACACTATAAATTTCCCTGTAAGCACTGCTTTAGTTGAATCTCTTAAGTTTTGGTGTGTTGTATTTTCATTCATCTCAAAGTATTTTCTAATTTCCTTTGTGGTTTCTTTGAACTTTTGGTAATTTAGGAATGTGTTGTTAATTTCCACATATATATAGAATTTCCCAAGTTACACTGTGTTGTCGTTTCCTACTTTCATTCCATTGTGGTTGGAGAACATATTTAGTATGATTTCAGTCCTTTTAAATATATTCAGTCTTGTTCTGTGGCCTAATGTGTGGTGTGCCTGGAGAATGTTTCATGTGTATTTGAGAAGAATGTGTGTCCTGCTGTTGCTGGGTGGGTGGTTCTGTAAATGTCTGTTAGGTCTGCTTGGTTTATGGCATTGTTTTCTGTTCCTCGTCGATATTCTGTCTAGTTGTTCCCCTGTTACGCAAGTCTCCAACAGTCCTCACTGAATTGTCTGTTTCTCAGCGTGGTTAGTTTTGCTTCATATATTTTAGGGCTCTCACTCAAATATTTTAAGGGAGACATTTGAATAATTAACTTTAATAGGCTTTTTACATTGTTCAAGGATTAATTCCTTTTGAAAAATTCTGGAGTGTGAACAAGATGATGTCACAAGACAAGTGATCACTACAACTATGAACTTCCAGAAGCTTCCAGAACAGCAGGGAAATGTCGGTCATGGGTAGGAAGGGTTTAAGTACTTTTTCAGAAGATAATTTTTTTCTTTAAAACCCCGACCACTTTTTTTTTTATTTTGGTAGAAATAGAAAAATCTATCCTAAAGTTCACATGGAGTCAGTCTCAGAGGATCCTAAACAGCTAAAAGGATCTTGAAAAAGAATAAAGTTGGAGGTGTCACACTCCTTGATTTCAAAAGTTACTACAATGCTATATTAATCAAAACAGTGTGATCCTGGTGTAAGTTAGACAGGCCAAGGAATAAAACAGGAGCCCAGAAATAAACCCTTCCAAGTGTGCTCAATTGATTTTAGACAGGGGTGGGTACCAGGACCATTCAGTGATGAAAAGATCGGCTTTTAAACAAATGGTCTTAGAGAAAGTGGACATCCACATGCAAAGGGATGAAGTTGGATCCTTACTTTATACCGTATGGAAAAAATAACTCAGAATGGGTCAAAGACCCAAAACTATGAAACTCTTAGAAGAAAACATGGGGTGAAAACTTAACATTGAATTTGGATATGGCACCAAAGCACAGATGACAAAAATAAAAATAGGTAAATTGGGCTACATGAAAGTTAAAAATTTCTGTGTATCAAAAGACATCATTAGTAGAGTAAGAAGGCAACCCGTGGAGAGGGAGAAAATACTCACAAAAACACGTCTGATGAGGGATTAATATCCAGAATGTAAAAAGCACTTCTATCGGGAACATAAAAACAACCCCATTAAAAATGGGCAAGATACCTGAACAGGCATTTCTCTAATGAAGATACTCAAATTGCAGTGAGCACATGAAAAGATGCCCAAACACCAGTAATCATTAGGAAAATATGAATTAAAACCACAATGAGATACCACTTAACACCCACGAGGATGGTATCATCAACAAACAAAAAGCCACGCAAACAGAGTAGTGAGCATCGGTGAGGATGTGGGGAAACGGGAACCGCATGTTCTGTTGGTGAGACTGTAAAATGCTGCAAATGCCATGGGAAACAGTATGACAGTCCCCCCAAAAAATTAAAAACAGGATTACTGTTTGATGCAGCAATCTCACTTTTGGGCATATACTCAAAAATACAGAAAGCAGGGGCTTGAACATACTTGTAAACCCTTAATAGCAATGTTATTCACATTCACCAAAAGGTGGAAGCAACCCATATGCTGGATGGATAAAGAAAATTGGACTCTGCATACAGTGGATGTTAGCCTTAAAAAGGAAGAAAATTCCGACACGTGGTCCAGCATGGATAAACCGTGAAGACATTCCACCAAGTGGAATGAGCTGGCTCAAGAGGTCATGTGCTGATCCCACTCGTGGCACACCAGGGCAGAGGTTCAGTTGCACGATGAAAAAATTCTGGAGATGGATGTGGCGATGTTTGTGTAACTGGAATGGACTTGATGCCACTGAACTGTGTACTTAAAATGCTTAAAAAAATGAAGCTAGCTCATTAAAAAACCAAAAAATGATTTTCAGGACAACCCTCGTGTACACTATAGACCTCTTGAGAATTAATGTAACACTTTTTATGTGTGCTGTACTGTGGATTTGTTCTGGTTTGTCCAGCTGCAGAGAAATGTACAAGTAAGTAAATACTACTTAAATTCTAAACAGTTAAAGGAACATTTTCTAAGAACAGATGTGATATTTGATATTGGTTAAATTCTACAAGAGGTTGTATGTGAACTAAGGAAATTTGAAATTAAAGCTCGAAATCTCCATTTGGGTGTAGAGTTGACATCTCTAATTGCCCTAAACTGAACCCCTGGTCTCCCCCTCTCCCAGCCAAAAAAGAACAAACAAAAACCAAGACCTCCTTCTCCATCTCACTAAATGGAAATAGGGTGTCCTTCCACTAGCTCAGGCTAAACATGTGGGTCCCCCCATGTTGCTTCTCTCACATCCCGTGTCTGACTTGTCAGAAAAAACGGTCTGGAACCTGACCTCTTCCCACCACCAGCTCCGCCCTCTCCCGGAGCTCGACCGCCGCCCTCGCCTGACTCCCGCAGTAGCCTCCTTGCTGGCACGTTTGCCCCCTGCAGTGTTCTCAGGAGCACCCCGGTGGCCCTGTGCCAGGCCATGTCACCTTGCTCAGAGCCCTCCAGTGGTTTCCCATCTCAGAGCAAAAGCCCGAGTCCTCTCCAGATGCCACAGGCCTCCCGACCACATCTCCGAGCCTCCCCTCAGAGACACTGCTCCCTCTGCGTTCCTGCTGCCGGGCAAGCCGGGGGCCCTGCCTTGGGCTCTGACCGCTAGCTGTGACTTTTCTCTGGAGTGTTCTTCCCTCAGATACACTCTATTTCACGTTCCACCTGCTCAGTGAGGCCTTCTCTGTCTTAACCAAAATTGCATCCCTTCCATTTTTCTCTCCTACTTGTCTGCTTTAGTTTTCTCCATGGTACCTGTCACTTTATAATTTGTACAGTCAAATTATTTGTCTTGTTTATTGTCTGACTTTCCCACCAGAAGATAAATATTATGAAGGGACAGGGTTTTGTCCTGGTCACCACTGTGGCCCAGCACCTAGGACAGTGTCTGATGTAGAATAGGTGTCAGTAGTTATTGAATGAATAATCTTGTAAATAAACAAAAGGGACATGGTTCTAAGGCAGGTGTCTGTCCCAAACTGGCGTTGATACCTGTGCTAAGGTGGGGGGTGGAGCTGGGGGTACACCGAGGGGTGCGCCGAGGGGTGCAGTGCATCCCTCCAGTGGCGAGGTATTTCTGCCTCACGCATTTCCTACTCATTGCAGAGCATATCAGGACCTGTTCCCTAGGTCCTTGCTTATTTCTGTAGCGTGTAAGAGGTGTGGCAGCAGTTTTTGATTTATCCACGGTACAGGCGCATGGCAAAGCCTGAGTGTGCCGTGTGGCCCATTTGCCCTGCTGCTGCTTGCACTTGGCAGACAGTGTTAGGCTTACAGTGATTTTTCATCTCCATTATGTTCTCATGGCTAAAACATTGTCACTGAGGTTGAAAAAAAACTCCTAAAATAATAGAAGCCTTGTGCTATGATCTTTCTTTGCTATTGAAAAAAATCACAAACTTCTGTCTGGACCATAGTGGCTGTTGTGTTTAATTTTGAAAAGAGCAGTGGGCCACCTGATAAATAGGAAGATCGTCTGAATTAATGTTTTGTATGTCGCCAAGGTGCATAAGCAGTTCGTGCCCCCTTCCTTTCTGGGCACCGGCATTTCCCTCAAGGAGGTCCTGCCTGCTTGTTCAGACCTCGGTGGGAAAAGGCGGTTAGGAGCGAAGCCAGGTAGGATGGCAGTAGTTTCCACCAGGTGTTGCTACATGTTTTTCTGGAAATAAGGCCCCTTAGTGACATGCTTGGATTCGAGAAAGCTGTGGGCAGAGCAGTGCTGGCCGCCCCGCCTGCTGGCTTTGGTCCTCAGGCAGGCTCTCCGCCCCCTCGAGTGGGCGTCCTCCTGTACAAGGAGCGGTGTTGGTCTCGGGGACAGAAGACCCAGTCAGTGCCTTGGAACTCGGTGGAGGGGTCAGTAAGTGGCTGAGGAGCTGCGGGCAGTGTCCACGTGGAAGTCCCGCAGCTGCAGCCCAGCAAATGCTCTCGCCAGCACGTCACTGCCCCTTCCAAGGGCATCTAAGGGGCTGAGCGGCGTATTCCGTCCGCATGTAGCTGGAGCCCGTCGGGCGTCCACTGCGTCTCGGCGGTGCTGTTTCTAGACAGCAGCACTGAAGGCGATGCTGTAAAAGAGCTCCAGGCAAACCGAAGGAAGAGGTTTTGTTTCTTGTGAGAAAATTAATTCAGGACTTTGTCACCGCAGAAACCTGGCACAGCCTGTCCTCCGCTAGGTTTTCAACAGTTGAAAATGAGAAGATGGAAGCTGTGTAGATCATAAAGTTAAGTGTAGACTTAGAGGGCTTCTCTGGAGTGCTCAGCTCTCTGGTCTCAGGGGCTTCTTGTCAAATAGATACTCTGTTGTGACTGCCGCTCCTCGTGGTGCTGAGCAGCAGCGAGGCGGTGTGTTCTCCAGTGCATGGTAGCCTGTTCGCTAAGGGTCAACCTGTGCCTTCTGACTTACTTTCTTTGGTTTAAAATCTCCTGCTCTTTTCCCCTTGTTTTTCTGTTAGGTGGATTTAAGCCATCTCAGTTTTTGATTCTCAGCATCTGTATCACTCGGGGTTGTATCAGGAGACAGAGCCACACAGTAGTTTGGATTGGGAGTTAATTACTGCAGGGTAAAGAGGACTCCAAAGGATACATGCATTGTCGATAAGGGAGCAGTAAGTGCTCCCTGGACTCAAAAGGAGGACGCAGGGAAGAAACATTTGGAAGTGTGCCCTCATCCCCCAAAGTGAGTGTTTTACCTTGGATGTCTGTCACTGACTGGTGAAGATGTCTGCTGGGGGATGTCAGCCAAGGAAGTGGCACCGAAGGTGCTGTGGGGTTGCTGGGGTCACCTTGGGGCACTGGTGGAACTTGTCTGGGAAGGTGCCCATGGAAGTGCCTGCTCAAACATGCTGATTGAGCTGCACACAAGCCGGGCACGGGGGCAGGAAGGCGCAGGAGCACATACGGGCAGGAGGAGCCCCTTGCTCCCCTGCCCTCTGCCAAGCCCACGGTCATGCCGGCTGACAGAGCAGAAATGTTCGCAGGGTCCAGCTCCACTATCCCAAGCAAGTTGGTGAGTGGGGGCTTGGAGCCGAGAGGCAGTGAAGTGGTTACTGTCCGTCTGCCCCTTGTCTGCCTGCATTTGAGCTTCGGTTATCCGCGGAATGACCCCTCTGTTTCTGCCGATGAGTTACAGCTATCTGTTGTACGATGAAGAAGCTCTCGGCCTTTCCCCCAGGCGAGGAAAGGAGATGCTTGTGGCTCCTAGTGCTGGCTTAGGGGTCACAGTTCACTCAGTGTTGTTACCAAGGGACTGACTGACTATCAAACCAACCTTTCCTGACCTATCATAACGGGAAGACAAAAGAAAAGAGGAAAATAATTAGAATATACAAATAGACACAAACTATAGCAAAGACACAAACTATAGCCATTGTGGTTCCTGTTTTGTGATTCACCACGAGGCTGTTGTTGACACCTGTGACTTCTTTCCTCCATTGCCCATTGCATATTTTCTTTGCCCAGCCAGAACCTCAGAGGGCTGGAGTTCCTTGCCTGCGAAATGACCCAAACTGGCCCTTCCTTTGTAGCTTGGTCTTCTCTGGGTGGACCTAGTCCCACCTAGCCTTCATCATCAGCACGAAAGCCCGAGGAGGCTCCTCACAGAGAGTCCTCGCTTTCATGGCGGAGCAGTGACCCCGTGTCCCCTTGACGGTCAGGCTCACTCATTCCAGCCACTGGAGTCACCTCCTTTCTGCTTGTTGGTTCTTTGGAGAAAGGAGCCCTGACTGGTCAGGGGGCTCCTTGTTTTCTTATTCAGTTGAAGCATTGTGCAGGTAGACATATTCCCTCCCTGGGACCAAGACCTTTGAACTAGCAGATCTCCAAGTTGTCAGAAGTGGAAGCAAAAATTCTGTGAATGTATTACTGGGTATAATAGTGATTCCCCTTGATTCTCAGACCTACTTGTTCTGTGGGGGCAACAGCATCCTGTGAGGGTCTCTGATTCAAAGCTTTCAGGGGTTACCCCATTCATTTAGAATGTTGTCTTCGACCAAGAAAGTGAATCCTCAACAAGCGAGTCCATCTGCCAATTCGGCCGGTGGTGCTGGGTGATGGGTTGTGATGATTCCACGCAATTCCGTGGGCATGAGCCCATTTTTTCACTTGCTGTGAAATGACTTTCTTAATAAGAAGCCAGGCTGTGTGGAATGTCCTATTGTGAGTCCGTGGTTGGCATGGCAGAGGCTTACCTACAGAGAATACATATCTGTGTCCAGAGCAGTATCTATTCCAGTCAGGACCAATCCCTGCCCTCTCTAGCCCGGAAGACAGCGAAGGTAACCAGCTTGCTGCCAGGTGGGTAGCTAGGCCCCCCGGGAACGGCACCATGTGACGGGCTTGGTGTCGCTCTGTGCTGTTGATGGGTTAGGCTCTTGGCAGCAGCTGTAGCCCGGCTGACCTTGTCTAGAGGACTTCCGTGTCACTGAGCCTGTAGGTAGCCCCCGTCCCTGCCCTCATGGGTCCCTGGAGGCAGACTGATACTGGGGGAGAGGCCGGCCAGTGTCCACAGATGGGCTATTTTCTTGACCCAGTTATAAAGTGCTTCCTCTGCAGTGGCTGCCGTTTAGTGGTTATTCGCATGGGACATGAACATCTTAGTCCATGCCCATTGTGGAAGTTTTCTCCATGCACATTCTATCCTCAGATCTCCTTGTCACCATTTTTTTACAAGTCCCTAACTAGCCACAAAATCCTTAATTATTGTCATGATCAGAGTAAGTCTGTGCTCTGAGCATTTCAGTCAGGAGAGGGGACTGTGCTGTGCTGCTCAACGTGCGGCTGGCCCCTGCTGGGAGGATTTTCCCTGGGCACTGCCATCAGAGCCGCCTTTCGGTGGGCTGTAGTATGGCGTCTGTCCGAGCTTACTGTGCAGGCGCAGCGCACACCCCTGGGCTCCCCTCACCCCCCTCTCCTCATCATGTGGAAGTCTGAGGGAGGGGCGGCAGCACAGCAGGAGTTGGCTGAAGGGGTCCGAGCTACCAGCTCATGTAACACTGTCTGATCTCTGGTCCCTTACACATCATCTCATGTGGCCACGTGATGTTTGGGCATTTAGTCTCTGCAGTGCCCAGGGTCATGCCTGGTTTTATTTCCGAAAAGGTGAGTAGTTGTCTGCAGAAGAATGCAGATTTTCCCCCGAATTCTAGAGGTTTGGGCTGCGATTCCCTTACTGTTGCTTGCTGGAGGCCTCATTCAGCACCCCTGTGTGCCATGGACACTTCAGGTGCCGTTAGGCCTGCTGGGTTGCAAGCCCAGCGGTAGAGCAGCTTGAGCTGCAGGCTAGACCTGATATGGAGCCTTTCATGCCCTGGCCTCCCCTTGGCGCTGTCTGCCTGGTAGGTGACTTGGTGGATGGGTTAAAGAAGAGGCTTCAGGTGGGGTATATGTCACCTCCAAAATCTGAAAAGGCCTAGGAAATACTCTACCTCTTTTCTCATTGTTGGTGTGTGAGTCGCGGGAACTTATCATTCACCATGGAAGGGAAGTCTTGTCGCACTTTGGGCTCTTGGCCTCCTGAGTCTGCGTGTGTCTCCTAGAACATCTGTTCATCAGGTCCAGTCAGCATCCTGCCAGTACAGTGGGCCGTGCGCTCTTGCTCTGAGCATCGTGATGCGCCGTGCCTCTGGGCTGTCTCATGGTGGGGCTGATGTGGCCCCAGGGGAGACTCTGAAGCATGTCAGAAGCAGACGGAGGCAGAGGGCTCCTGGTAGTCCTTGCAGATTGTCACGGAAAAAAAGGCGTCAGGAGCAGTGCCCTAAACCCTGGGGCCATGCGGGTTTGCTGACTCGGAGGCATCAGCTGCCGGACGGACTAGTGTCCTGGTTCAGTCCTTCTCTGGGGCCGTCCAGCTTCTGTGCGGGCCAGCTAGACTTGTCGTCATGGTGCAGAAAGCCTGCAGAGTCTGAGGGAACCGGAAACAGCAAGGGAATAAAATGGACATCAATTTCCTTCCTGATTGGTGTGTTTTTAAACGTGTTCCAAATAACATTCTATGATGAGAATATGAATATATCCATGAATGATTTGGCCTACTTGGGAAAATGGTTTTCATCTTCAGTTTTACAGTGGAATGTCAATTTTCCATAGTTCTGGAATAAATGGACAGAGATGAACAGGCATTGAAATATGGCCTGTGGACGTGAACACAGTCAGACATTCACATGTGATTTTTGCCACAGTTGAATTTTGGTTATAGCTACTTGTAAATCATTTTTCTGGCTTTAAACCAAAATCTTGCTAACATCTACCATAATTTAAATTCCAACCTGTTTAACAGAATGTGAAAATAGAATTGGAGCTTATTAT